TGAGATAATGAAAAGATATTAAAATGGAGCTGAGAGCTGAGCCACCCACTGAAGACCATAAGGTTTCCACTGTTTTGCCAAACAATGTAAAATCAGGAGGAAAACCGAAACCTTGCCAATGTCAATCTTTTTGATCCTTACAAATTAAAGAAAGGATATTCGCTGTTCTGTTTTAATGGGCTGACATGGTTCAACTGTGATGTCAGTTTAAATATCCTAAAAACTGTTCCATTTTTCAGTCTAAGACAAATTACTTCCCCCCTAAAAATAGTCTCAATAATTCCAAAATTCAGGAATTCGAGGGGGGGAGGGGCTTATGCACTTTTTTAACATTAGCAGGGTATTTTCCAGGGTCTTCCTTCTACCTCCGAGACACTCAGCACATCTCAACAACCCCTTTTCCTGCAAGGCTGATATAAGCCTGGTGACTCGTGCTTGGGGACCCTGGGTGACAGGCCGGGTGCTGGCGTTTATTCAGCTCTGTTGCTGCCCTCTGCAGCTCCAGCAACGCCTGACTACTATTTTTGTTTCTTTTTGCAGTGCCAGACTGGGATGTGAACCCTGCCCCTTGTCTCCCACGGGTTCCAGCGGGTGGATGAAATGGGATGCTCACTGCAGAGTGTTCATCACTTACTGCCTTCTCCATCTCCTGAGACATCAACTCCAGGATCCGAAATCAGGACATTTAGGAAGGGGAATTCTGTGAACAGCCCTTACTCTGCTCCTGTACCCCATGCAGGATCCCTAGGTCTATGTTATGGGCAAGAGCATTTCTTCCTACATCCAAAGCTAGGAGGACTTTATCCAAAATGGCCAAACTAGTCACAAGGATTGTGTGGACAGTTTGCTCCCCAGAGCGTGGACATGCAGATGTGGCAGTGGAGGCAGGGCACAGGGCACCTCTCCAGCCTGGTGCTGTTTGAAGTAGGTTTGGGATTCCAAAATGAAATTTAGTGATTTAAGAATCGTAATTAAGGATGACAACAGTGAAATAATTTGGGTAGCATCTGAAGGAAAGCCAGGCATTTGATGAAGGAAGCCAGGCATTTGACCTAAACTAAAAAAAAAAGGGGTGGGGGAGAAGATTTTCTGTGTGCTATAATTTTGATCTTTTCCATCTTATCTCAGGAGAAAACACCCACAAACTATACAAACGTTCCTAGGAGGAATGAGGCACTGCCAGCTTCCCCTTGGGGCACACGATGGTGGAGGAGGTACGCCTGGCCTTGCCTGCCAAGAAGTGTTGGCAGCACCACGCTCTCCAAAGGCCCATCACAGTAGCACGGCCCCCACCACCTCTGCTGGCTGCCAGGAGGGTCCAGCCAGCCCAGGAACCTCTGAACCGACCCCGATGCTGCTCAGCATTGACGTCTGAGGAGCACAGTGTGGCCCTCCAACCGTTGCCCATTCCCCCTTGAGCCTGGTGGCTCAGCCAGCTTTTCACCCACCTCCCCAGCCCCTCTCTCTCCGATTTGGTTATTCAGATACTGCAGGAGCCTTGGCAAATGCATCTGTGCTCTCACCTCCTCCATGGGGCCAGTTATTTCATCCTGAAGGCAATCGATTGCCCTCAATCCCAGCAATCCTTCCTGAGAAGCCAGGTCTGGGTGCTGTGGTTTCATCTGGCAGAAAAAACGGACTCAAACTTCCCCCTGCCACTTCTCCACCAAATGATCTCTCTCTCGGGTGCTGTGCAAAAGGTGCCAGCCCTGGGTACCCACAGAGCGCCTGGCACCCATGGGGACTCCCATGCCAGCTGGGTGGGCATTGTAGGCCTGGAGTAGCCCCCAGCCTGCATGGAGGAGCTCTGGCACCTGGGCATCCTCTGAGCTGCATGGGGAGGATCTACAGAGCTGGGCCTCCTCAGGGCTGGGAGCAGCTGAACAGGCTTTTCAGGCTCCTTTCTCTGAAGTCAGGCAGCTCCGGTGCACCCAGCTCCCTTTTGGGGGCAATGCTCATCTACAGTTCTGCCTGGTGTCCCCCACCATCCCGAAGCAGAAGATGGCCAAGAGCCAGCCCCTCCTTGCAGCTGCTGGTGCCTGCATGCTGTGGGGCCAGGCTGCAAGCCACCCAGCTCCTAACATCCTGCCATGCCTCAGTTTCTCCACCTCCAGGGCGACGTCTCTGCTGTGCGCTCGCCTTGTGCCATTGTGGCCATGAAGATAGTGGGATCTCATGTGAAGCCTGCCATGCAGCTGCCCTCACACTCCTGCCACCAGCATCACCCACGGATGGCACCCAGACAGGAGAGAAGGAAGGCAGCTGTGCTCTGTCCCTGTGCCTGTTGCTGGCTGGGGGTAGCAAATCTCCTGGTGAGATCCCAGCACCCGCTGTAGGTGGAGAGAGTAGCAGTAACCTGAGTGGGAGCACCTTCCCCGGGTGGCCCCAGAGCCCATAGCACCCAAGATGCCATACATGGAGGACTCTGCAGGAAGGGTTAATGGGCCATGCTCCCTACCAGGGAGGTCGGACATGATCAGGAGTAAAAGTTTATCAGTATTTTCCCCCAACAGGGTGTCCAGGGAGTGCGCCCTGCTCTCTGCTTGCTGCCTGGTCTTTCAAGAATTTTTGCTTCATCCTTGCGCCCCCCCAAAACCTCCAACAGGACCGAGGGAGAGAGAGATGTGGAGATTAGAAAAGCTTCTCATGTGTCCTTGCTCTGCTGTTTGGGCTGGCTGGTAGCACCCTGCAAGCTCTCTTGCATCCCTGTTTCTATGCAAACAGTCAGCTGAAAACCTTTTCTCAGTGCTTGGGCTACCGCAGTGCTCCGAAGACCCTGTTGCACCCACACAAGGACCAGCGCTTGCTTTCGCCTGCAAACCAAGGTGCTCTCTGAGCCCCTGCCTCCAGCCCTCCAGACATTTACCCAGCTTCCAGGTGGCTGGCTTCACCCTGCAATGCTCAGTCCGATCTGGGCCAGAAATGGGCACATAGATCCCAGAACCGCAGTTCCTGGGTGATGGGGGCTGTGTCAGCTGCTGGGGCCCATCTGGCTGAGTGTCTTGGTTGTTTGTTTTTCACTCTCTGTATGACCTTTTCCTCTGGAGAGCTGCATGAAAACTCCAACCCTCCCAGGATGACAGTAAAATGATCCCATCTCCCACCCACTCCTACAGCACGCTGGCTTGCTAAGCTCTCATCTCCCAGGCTCCCTGCTACCAGATTTAGTTTGTGAATCCACTCTTGGAAGACATTTGCCCCCACACAGCCAGATCTGGTAGATTTGGGTCTCTGTTCAGAAAAAACTCCAAAATTCAGGTTGGGTAGGGGACATGGGCAGGGGAACTGGCTGCGTGTTGGCTGTGCAAGGTGATGAGCAGCTCAGGACAGGAATGGAAAAGGGCTACAGCTTGGCCTTCCCATGCCTGGACCTGAAACTCTGAAGTAGCTATTTGCCTTGCTCCTTTTGTGTCTTTACCTCCATTAATCTAAATTTCCTCCCAGCTCCTGGCTATTATGGCCTCCACTGCTACTTCATTCATCAGTGTGGGGGTGTATGTCCACAGGCAGGGCAGACCCATATGCACACCCAGTTTGTTCCCCAGCTACTTCTATTGCTTGGGCACTCAGAAAACAAAAATATCTCTTTGCAGGGAGCAGGAGAGCAGGAGAGTCGAAATGCAGGAGTCAGGCGGACCAAAACAGGAACAAAATTTGGAAGACTTCAGAAAGCCTCTTGCTGGGTTCTGCTCCTTTGCTATGTGGGCTCAGCACTTGGAGAGGCTCTCATCTCAGCTCTCATCCAGCCTGGATGCTGGTAAGAGTTTAAATACATCCCCCACTGATGTGGGAATGACATGAGATATGGCTTCCCTGCCCCAAGGTGACCCCACGGTGAGCACAGAGCTCACTGCCCCGGGGGTTTGGTTTGGACAGACACCCTGGCCTGGCTGACACACTAAAGCGAGGAGGAACCGGAACTCACTAGCTTCCAAGACAGCCAGAATGACCTTGAGCCCCAGCTGGGACCAGACATGAGTGGCATCAAGTTCAAAGCTGCTGGTATCCAGCACCTTCTTGTAAACTACTATGTTTCGCTACCTCTGTCCCCAGCAATGACCAGGGATAATGCACAGCTCTGGCTTCTAGTTTAAGCCCATCTGCAGCCAAGGGAGGGAGGCTGCAACCAAATGGGGGAGGATGAGCCCCCGTCAATTTGGACCTGCCCCAGCTCATCTCCCCACAAAAGCGGAGGGTCTTCTCAGCAAACAAAGCCAACGTGCTCTGGCTAGGGAGGGTCAGGCAGTCCTTTCTGAGCAGAAAAACATCAAACAAAGTGCTCATTCCTAATCTTGGCTGCTCAGAAAGAGCCAACGTGAGCCTGGCTCTGGCACGAGGTGAGTGGGCTGGGGCCATGCCAGGGGACCATGCCACCGTCCCTCCCGAAAGCCACTCCACAGTTGGCCTTGGCATGGGGCTTCAGAGCAGCTCAAGCTGGGACGGGATCCCCATGGGCTCCAGCCCTGCCGTAGGGCCGGGCAAAGGCTCCAGGTGCGCAGGCTCAGGCTGGCTGCCACAGCCCAGAGGGACAGCGTACCATGCTCCCAAATTCCCACACTGCTGGGCAATCTCCGAGACGATCTGCAGTGCCTCCGGTAGCCGGCCTTCAGCTCAGGCTCCGGCTTGTGGAGCCCAGTGGCTCGAGGCACTTGCATCTGTGTTGCCTGTCGGGGCAGAGCCCCAGCAGGAGCTCTGCCTTCCGGTTCCTGCCGTCGCAGCCTGCAAAGCCAGGTAGCTTTGCTCCCAGGTCACCAGTATGGGAGCTGCCGTGGGAACACCTGGGGGCATGGGCTGAGTGTGATGGATGACCAGAGAAGCTCGGGATGGGAGCGAGGGGCTTCAGACCCCTGCTGTGGGATACTGGCAGATTTAGGGGGATACCAAAGACAGAGTTAACAGAGGCTGAAGCTCTGTGCAGGGTATGTACCTTGTGGGGCCCCACAGACAAAAGTGACAACAGGGTAAGCAGCAAAATGACTTGTTTGATACAACATAAGGGAACCATTGGGTACAGGAAGGTGAGATGCCCATTGTCTTCTCCAGCATCACCCATTGGCCTGAGGCACTAACAGTGAGGGTGGCTCCAGGCAGGAGGATGTCTGGCAGTACGGTTGCAAAAGCCCACGTTACCAGGGCATCCGGACAAAATGAGTGGAGCGGTCCCATCCGCAGCAGCTTGGGGCAGCCTCCCAACCCCTTTGCAAGGTGAGGGCTCAGGGGGAAATGTGTCTCTGGCTGCATCAATCCATCCCAGTGCCACCTCACAAAAAAAAACAGAGCGTACTTTCATGATGCTTTCTTCGATCTCAGCCTCATCCATCCCCATCCTGTCCTGCAGGAGAGGCCTGGACCCAGGAAGTCCTCACAGTCCATCAAGGTCCAGGCCATGTTGGCTGAAGGACAGTGGGTCCCTGGGAAAAGATGTCACCTCTGCCATATCCGGACCCCCCAGTGATGGCCCTGGCTGTGTCCTTCTGCCCCTTCAACTCTTACGCTGACAGGCCAAGGGGCATGCAGCTTGACCCCTGCAGCCATGCCAGCTTGGCTCCTCAGGTGCCTCTCCATCCTGCCCCAGGCAGTGTGCAGCTGTGGGCTGACTGGCGGCGTGACAGTTTCTCGCTGAAGGAGGCACAACAGGCCATGGGAAGCCAGCGCTTGCACTGGCCTCCCTAGGGGCTGCCACCCGTGTGCCCAGACCAGACAGAGCACTGGCCTCATTTGCCTGCTGGGATCCCGTTCTCTCGGCTGCCCACTGAGCCAAGGGCCTTCTCCGTCCTGCCCTTCGGATGCTTCATGTCCACGGGCTGGCCCGCTGAGGCTGCGTCATACTGCACCACTGTGGAAAGAAGGCGTTCGTTACCTTGGTGCTGGGACATGGGGCAGGATCAGGCCCAAACGGCACTGTGGAGCAGGGTCAAGAGTCTGCAGTGTCCGTACGACTCTCCTACAATGCCAGGCTGGGCTGGGCTCCAGTCCTTCATGATGAGCCTGCACCCAGGGCCAAGACTGCCTGAAGCTGGGCAGCCTCAGCACCTCCATCCATCCCACATGCAGGGTTGGACAGCACAGTGTCCCTGGGGACCACTCACCACCCAGCAGAGCAGGACGCTGGTTGGGGAGATCCCAGGAGGTCCTGCATCAGGGCCATTGCCCAGAGGGCAGGGTGACACAGAGCTGCCCCTGCTCACAGCTGCTCCTCAGGCCACCCCCTCCATGGCCACCAGCCAGCAGGAGGAATGGAAGCTCAGCAGCGAGCTTGGCCTCCTGTAGAAACCACAGTGGCCCAACCCTGACCATGCGAATGGGTGGAAGGGTCAGGCCACCCTGGCCAGAGGAAAGGGTATGAGAAAGCCCCATTTTGGGGGACGTGAGGAGATTAAATCCCAGCAGGTGAAGCTTGAGCAGCTCCAAGGGGGAAGCAGAGGGCAGAGCAAAGTGCCGGGGGCCACAGCCCTGGCTGGGGACACAGGACTCAGCACTTCCACAAAGACCCTGGCTGGGGGGTGTCCCTGTCCATGGGGCTCCCCATGCTCCCGGGCCCATGGCTCCTGCTTATGTGCTGCAATTCCCGCTGCGCCTTTTCCATGGGGGGAGCCAAACTGTCCCGGGGATGGCAGCAGAGCACTGAGGTGATGGTCAATGAGCTCATCCTGCGGCAGGTCCCTGCACCCCAGGAGGCCCCGAGCCTTGCCCCAGGCACCAGTCGCGTCGCAGCGTGGAGCCACGGGCCCCCAGCCCTCTCCCAGCGAGCTGCAGGGAGCTGCTTACCTGCTCTGCAGCTGTGCCGGGCCCGCACGATCTGGATCGCCTGCTGGTTCTTGAAGCGGACGAGGCCCATGGTGATCGTGGCGTTCCAGCCCGGGTCCTCCTGGGCGCAGCGGAAGTCGATCTCGTGGCTGTCCTCCATCACCACGGTGAAGTAGATGTGCCGCTCCTTCCACTCCACGCACTCCACCGCCTTCATGCGTGAGAAGCTCAGCTCCTTTCGGCGCGAGCCCTTGGGCTCAAAGAGCTGCAGCCCCTTCTCTGTCAGGAGGCAACGCTTCTTCTTCCAGAGCTGCAGCAGCCCCCCGCTGCGTTTCTCCAGCAGCCCCTCTCTCAGCACCTTCTCTGGGGTCATAGCAGCTCCTCAGCCGGCCAGCAGCCCCGTGGGATCCTCAGCTCCTTGCACTGGCCCAGACAGGCATCACCCGCTGGGGATTTCCAGCCCCTCCACGTCTGAGCCGAGCTCCCGGGGGGGC